CGCTATCCAATAAGTCTCCTCTACCAGAACGGGAGCCGCTTCCAGTGGTTCCGTTGTGTGGCAGATTCGCCTACGAGGGTCAGAGCGCTTCCATTGTAGCAATGGACGCAAAACGTGATCAGCACTCACACATTCATCACGAAACGGTTGCTTTGCAAAGTCGACGACGCATGACTGAAAGAACAATGATGAAGAACAATGAGGAGGACCACACAATGTAGTGGTTGCTGCCGAGTAAACAGACGATCGCGTGACACACATTGAAAGTGGTCTGCTTCTGTCGACAGCCGAGTGATCGCTCAGAAATTGTATTGAGATTGTCAAAAGCTTAAACATGTTTTTGAAGAGGGTAACAATTATTATATGTGTTTAAATTCACTGTACAAACTAATTATTAGCATATGGACTGATACCAAGTAACATTGCAAGTTTTATCGAGGTTTTATTCTATTCTATAATATTCTATAATATATATGGACCATGAAAAATCCCAAATTTCTAAAAAGGAGATCGGTTTTCCCAAATGTGAGAATAATCTTCAGGATATTTTTTCCATGGTGACCACCAACTGCTCAAGATAGCAGTCAGTTTCATAATTATAGTGAGTGAGAGGGATGCTATGAACCAGACTCAATTGGTTACGGATCATGAATATTGATTACAATATAATGGTGAAAATTGATATCAACACTTCTATTGACAAATTTGCAAGCATGAGGAGTCGTAATAAGATTTAGTTTATTAGTAATAAATTATTATTATTGTTATTTATTTATGATACATCACCAAATTATTGTGCGGCATTAGTTTCAGTAGGATTTAGTTTATATTACAATAGAAGCAGGTTAGAATAAAATATAAAACGAAACAGATTTGTCACAAGAATGTTTATATCATGCTAGAATATGAAAATTGATAACAAATCATAGGGGGCCCACAATAAAAGCAAAGACCAACGCCCCCAAGGATGGTAAAGACGGCCATGCACTCATTTATACCAATGCAAAAATGGTACAGTCAACGGAAGCTCGCAATTAATAACTGTGGAACTGCATCTAGAACACTAAGTTGAGAGCACGAAATAAGCTAATATGTAAAAAGCAATAAGCTAGAAATGCAAAGAAGAAGAGGACATTTTTCATAAAGTTTGAAGAATTACTCTGAAGTTCAAAGCACAGTCTTTAAAGCTGGCAGAATATTCCTGTATTTTGTAGAACATTCCTAAAGCTCAGTGACCATCTCTGTTTCTCTGAAATATGCAAGAATTTCCTGGGGCTCACGTTCATAAAATTTTCCATCAGTTCGGAGATCTTCATTGAAGTTCGTAGAGCTTTTCTGGACTTTATAGAAATTACATGTGTTTGCAGAAGTTCTTGTTCGCAAAAATATCCTAAACATCGCAGAACGCTCCTGAGATTTGCAGAACTTTACTGAAGTAAAGCATTTCGCTTATGTTCAAAGAACTTACCAAAAACTGCAAACGTACCAAAAGCGTTAAGCAGATCCGTTAAGTTCTCAGAAACTCTTTGAAACTCGCAGAACTGGTGTTTGCATAACTTCGCTGGATTTCGCAGAACTTCATTGAAGTTCGTACAGTGTTCCCGAAGCTCGTAGAACCTTCCAGATGTTTGCAAAATGACCCTGAGGCTCGCAGATTTTTCCTGAAGTTCGCAATACTTACCTAAGGTTCTAAAATCTTCACTAAAGGTCACAAAGCTGCGCTGAGGTTTTTAAACGCCTTTAAACCTTCAAAACCTTCCCAAAGTTCCCTGAAGTTCGCTAAACTTCTCTATAATTTGCAAAATTTCCTTGAAAGTCGCAGAACTTTCCTGAAAGCATATATCCGGAGAACTTCGAGATTTGGGCGTAATTGCTATTGTAAACAAATATGTCAATCGCTGATTTCTTGCGAATAAAAGCTAAATCTCGCAAACAAACTATTCCAAATGACAGAGGAATCACTCCTCTACATGAGTATGTTCTTAGTTTTCTAGGCTGAGTTTTCATTCGCGAGAAATCGGTGATTGAAGTGTTTGTTTACAAAAGCAATACGCCCAAGTAACATTGCAAGTTTTATCAAAATTTTAAAGCATTCTACAAGTCTAAATCATGGTCTACAGAACCCTAATAAGCCGGCGCCGGTGGTGTAGTGGTAAGCGTGACTGCTTTCTCACCCCAATGGGTCTGGGTTCAATCCCAGCCAAGGTCGGTGGGATTTTTCTAAGGCATAAAAATCTCTGGTCACGTCTTCCTTCGGAAAGGAAGTAAAGCCGTTGGTCCCTGCCCATGTGTGTTGAATGGGTGCGGTATCTTACGCAGGTGTGGAAGCTGCCTTCCTGCACATTCGATTGCCGTCAAATGGATGGCAATCGATGTCCGTCGGTGATTGGCACTAGATTGCGGAATAGAGACCGACGTTAAATAAAGGAAAGAAGATGAAAAAGAACCCTCATAAAACCAAAATTGTTACTTGGGCGCTCAAATCTCAAATCACTACGGATATAGAAAAATTATGGAAACTGCGTTGAAGGTCTGGTAACTCAGTATTCACTCAAGGTGAGGACTACCTAATCTCACTGGGCAAGAGTAGCTAACCTCATTTGAGTTTGAGGAGTTTCATTAAGCCTGTGCTCCGGTATCATGTCGTCATGGTTACCAAAAAATGTATGTTAAGTAAAGCAAAAAAATCTCTATACAGTTTTGAAAAATCCAAGTAATTTTTCCGCCCCTCACGAGCTGATTCTTTGTGAAATCAATTTTCATATTTGGTCTGCTGGAGGACATCCGCCTTAGTTCCTACATCCCTGAAGATGATGCGTTGGAATGGATTCTCTGGATACTGAACTGTTTGTTGTTTTTAGAAGTAGTTGACAGTGAAATCAATTTTCATAATTGGTCTTCTAGAGGACCTCCGGGTTACTTCCAGCATCCTTGAGGTTGCGTTGGAAACGTCGTTCTTTGAAATGATTTGGTATCACGAACTGAACTGTTTGTTATTTGTGAAATTATGTTTTATAATTGGCGAATCGAGGACATGCGGCTGACTATCAGCATCCTTGGGGATGTGTGGGAAGTGGGATGCTTTATGAAGGAGATTTTAAGCCAACTGGCTATAGTTCAACTCAAATGAGATGGAAGTATGATTGCATTGACTGTTTTTGGTAATGTGAACTGGACTGTAAGTTATTTTTTTAAGTGACTCGGGGTGATAATATTGTTTATAATTTGTCATCTAGGCGACATCTGGATTACTTGAAGCATCCTTGAGGATGCGTTGTAAATATGATTCATTCAAATATTTTGGTTATGTGATATGAACTGTTTGTTATTTTTTTTAAGTCGTTCGAGTGAGAATATTTCTTATAATTGGTCTTCTAGAATAAAGTTTTTAAGTGATTCGGAGTGAGGATAATTTTTATAATTGGTCTTCTCGAGGCCATCCGGGTAACGTTCAGCACCCTTGAGAAGGCGTTGGAAGTGTGATTCTTTCGAATATTTTGGTAAACCTATTGAAGTGGACATTTATTTTGATTACCGAAACAGTCACAACCTGCCATAAATTTGCTTAACAAGTTTCACTTGACGTTTAAAAGAGTTAACATGTTAAGTCAAAGATGATCGATAATCTTAGAAATGTCATATTTATTTACCTGACAAACAACTTGATCTCATGGATCTCAGCAAAACATGCAATACAAAATTTAAAAGCTGAAAGCCGCAAGCTCATTACAATCAGTTGGTTTGATTTGTCATACATTTCTTGTATTAAAATCACCTCTCCAAAAATACAAACTTCCAAATTATATCACCTGCCAGCTTGTTTGATGAGTTCCATATAAAAAATTAATGCTCATTTGTTCAAAACAGCCTTCCCAAACTCTAAATGTTACCCACCACCATGACAAGTCACTGTACCATTATAGTGTAGAAGAAATTCATCTCCCATTCTCCTTCCAAGCACCAAAACTTTCAACCTCAAAGCAGAAAATTAGACCATCCAGTCTTTCGGTCTCAGTTTCAGCTTCAGCGCTAGGAAAATGTTTTCGTTTTGGGAGCCTACCTTCCACAACCGATAGCAGGATATGGACGTGTGTTTGTGTATGTGTACATAAATTTGTGTAATAACCATGTGATATATCAAATAGAATTTATTCCAACAATTAGACAACAACTTTGGCCATTCATCAAAATAAGGATTTCAGTTTTATGACCATAACAAGCTCTAGATGGCAGTATAATCATCCTCCTAAGGGATCATATATATTCAAAAGCCCAGCACCAGTCCGATAGCGTGGCTCCTTCTGCTGCTGCTAGTATAGTGCTGCAACAACACGGGGGGAGCTTTCATGTGAGTGTATGATGCTGCTCCTTGTTTTGAAGCATTTCCTGCTAGGTACATAGTACTCACATTCGGAAAATGACGATGTTGTACAAGTCACTTTTCACCACATGGCCTTTCCGGCTGCTGCTCCTGCAGCTTGGTCGGTGCTTGAAGCCTTCTGCTGCCATGCAGAAGTGATTCCGGCCAAATGGATTCATTTTCGAAAAGTGTATCCAGAACCCACTCCCAACCCCCGTCTTGGCCCTCGCCGACGCTTCTCAAGGCTAGGTCAGTCCATCTACGATATACTCTATGAGGAAAGTACGAACATCATCATCGTCATGTTTTCCTCCTGGAACCAATATTTTATCATTCCGGTCCAGGCTGGCAGCAGCAGAAGCACAAACCCACCGTCACTTTCGGAGCCGAGAGTGCAAAGTAAGGCAATAAATGTTTTTACATGATATATTTATCAGAAAGTTCTTTATCACCTTGAAAAGTACATACTACATTCTCACCGGCCATAATTACCGGACTCCATACTGTGTCCCTCGGTCTCTCGATTTATGCACTTTATGTGTGCACATAGGACATCAACGGGCAAATGTAAACCCAAAGTTTGATTTACTCATTCCAGGCCCCCAGCGACAGTAGCAGCAGCAGCCTTGGTATCAGAGCCATGCTTCACGAAGAGGTCGAACTGGACGATACACACCTCTGCAACAAATGCGGTCGCACGGTGGTGGGGCTGGAGAATTACATCAAACATCGGAAGATAAGCTGTGCACCACCGAAGCCTGCAACGGTGACGATTGCCAGTGGACCTAGCCCTCGGATTGGTCCCGAGCAGAATTACGCATCCTTTGACTTTGGCGAAGGTATCAAAGATACGGATCATCATCATAAGAAGCTACCCAACTATGGGTTCAATTATGATTTGGAGCCACACCACGGTGATCCCGTACAGCGACCAGATAGCAAAACGGAGTATAAGAACGACGTGAACTATGACTACGAATTGGGTGCAGATTTGTTCTTTTCTTCACTGGAACTGCAAAGCAGTTCGAAGAAAAGCGGAAACTTACATGCATCAACGAGCAAACTGAATGTTCCCATTCGCCAGAAGGAACGAAAACCGACGACATCACTTTCCAATACAGATCCAGATCAAGAACAAGATCACGAAGATGACTGGATTGCACCTCAGCATGATTCGGAAAAACTCATGAAAGCTGTTAGCGATATCAGTGGCCACAAGAAAGTCGAATTGTTCCCATTCTTCGATCATGAATCTCCTGAACCATCGGAAGAGGAAAGCGATGAAGACGATGACTTCGATGCTCCCCCGAGAACTCACACTGGAGGCAAATGGAAACCGGAAAATCGACCATCTTCCTCGCAGTGGCGTCATTGGCCTGATCAAGAGGCCCAGCTTGATAAATCAATCGAACACGATGACGATGAAGACTACAAAAGCTTCTCGCCACCCCCGGGACATACAAAGGGTAAATGGGTGCCTGGATCGAAAATCACTCGACTGGAATACAAAGCCCCATCGTTTCCAAGCAAAGCCTTCAATGCCAACTATTGGTGCAGCATTTGTAATCGAAAACTCGCCTCACGATTTGTCTATGAAAGACACTTGAAATCTAATCTTCATCTCAAACGAGCTCAGGAAGAATCCGAGTTGGAGAGAGCTGTTAAGCCTGGTCTCTACTCGAATGAACTATCGAAAAGAGTCCCTAAACCATCCGTTTACCTAGGCGAAGATTTCTTCAGTACTAACGCTAGTCCGGAGAAGGCCTTGACGCCAACCTCCTTGGTACCTCAAGAAAGCTTGCCGACGAAAGTAAAGCGGAAACGAAAATGCTACTACACAAAGTGTGAAATTTGCAAAACACGTCTTCCGACTCATCTACTTGGGAAACATTTGATCTCACGGTACCACTACCGGCGAATGCTGAACCACCCGGAGCAATGCTTTGATGTTATTTTGAAAAACATCCACCGCATAGTACTGCAATCTCCCTTCCAGTGTCATCCATGCAAGTTCTACGCAAATACCGAAGAGCATTTTATGGCACACTGGAATTCGTTGGATCACGAGCAGAAGGTTAGCTCCAGCGGTAAATTCTGGTGTAGTTTCTGCAAATTTGAATGCTCCGAAAACTTCCAAATGACAAATCACCTGCTCGACCAGGACCACCAGGAAGTGATCTCCGTCATCAACCGGTCAGTTCCGATCATCATCCGCAAAATAACTCCCATTCGTTGTGAGTTCTGCGGAGACGAATTTCGCTACAATGCAATCCTAAACAAGCACCACGAGTATTGCAACGAAGGAACACCTGAAGAGACGTTGAGAGTCAAACGAACGTTTCTGAACTGCTTCACTTGCGATATATGTAAGGCATCTTTCCACAACAAGATGTTACTGTTGCAGCATGGACAGAAGCTGCATCGACTGGCTAACTACTACTGTTCGATCTGTGAGATTACATTCAAGACTCCAGCCGAATCCGTCAAGCACCGGAAAACTACCGTCCACAAAGTGATGTCTGCTAGGAAGCGTCAGAAAGATTCCTTACCTCTCAAAACGTGCCAGATCTGTAAGAAGCAAGTGTCTGACATCCTTGAACTCAAAGATCACATCCGCACTAACCACCCGGAAATCAAATTCAGGTAAGAAGTCACATCCAGTAGCAAACTTTCCCATGTAACAATTTTTACGTTTCAAAACTTTTACCACATCCGCAATAGTTGCCCACAATGCGGGGAACATTTCGTTCTAGCCCAAGAACTTGGCAGACACGTACGTGACAAAAATTGTTCATTTTTCAATTCCACCACATCATCACCGGCCATGCTGTCGTCAGCGTCGTCGTCGTCGTCGACCGAGCAGCAGCAACGGATAAAAGTGGAACCTCTCCCATCAACATCCCGGCCGCATCCGACAACGACGGCGGCCGAAAATTCAATTATCCCAAATGATTCAATTAAAGTAAATATGAATGATCGTAAGGAAGCACGGGAGTCACATCTGTATTCTTCGACTCCAACAACAACGGCCTCGGCCGCTACGGTTGTTCTAGCCGGTGGCCGTACCCACCACCACCACCACCACCGCCACCGGAATGAAACGGTTTCGAGAGCACCACCAGCAACCGTTGTATCATCAGCAGCAGCAGCAGCAACTGATGAGTCGGAAGGTATGTATGGCTTTTCAGATAAATTTTTCGCTTACCAAAGCAGATGGTGCTTTACTGTCAAACAGGCTGTGGAAGGTAGGTGGAGGGAAGTGGAGTGGAGGGGATGCCAAAAGTTTATGAAAATTTATAACTTTTACACGAACATTTTCGGGACGCCGATTTTCCGTTTGCTCTAATCCAGAGTTGGAGATTTTTCGCAAACCTAATCTGGTGAATTTGGGTGGGTGACGACGGTAGGGTTGATCGAGTTTATTTTGCCAATAAAGTTTTTTTTTCGGGAGAGCAGAATAAGGTTAAAAGGCGCAGAATTAAATTTGCAAAACATTCCTCAGCAAATATTACATAGAGTACTACTTTAAACGTTCGCTAACTGAAAGGGGCTTTTCGATTTATTCTTAAATCGCATTTTTATTCAGCCCTTCTTCGGCAACTTTAAAAATTAAGCTGTTTTCTGATAAATTTATGACTGGCGTTAGTTTTTTTTTTTGCTAGCTGGTATTTTGAAAATATTCAATAAGTCCCTTTCAGTTAGTGCACATTTAGAGTAGTTCTGCTATCCATGAAAGCACAATGAAGACTATTTTAGACGTGAGCGATAGCAAAATTGCAAAATTTTCCATTAATGTTAGAAAAGTATAGCTTATCCGGAGTAGACGAGATCAAAACAATAACAAGATGTACTTTTAAAAATGGGGAACAGAACATCGAAAATTTGCATTAGTTTGAAAGGTAAAATATTAAAAATGATATCAAAAATTCTTTGCAACCATAACTGAGTAATAGCAAAGGTAGCTATCGCCATATCCAAGGTCGTGACAAGGCTTCGAATTAGGGGAGGGGGGGGAGCAAAAAAAATTATGGAGTATTAGGTTAGACGCCGATTAGCTGAACACCATTATGCCGAACGCTATTATACAGGGCTGGTCACTTTTTGCAAGCAAGTCACTAAAAAGTCTCCTTTTATAAGACCAAGTCACTAAAGTCACTTTTCTTGTTATCAGTCACGATTTTAAACTTTTTTTTTACCTGAATGTATTTCAAGATTTATCATTCTTCTTGCAGGGTGAATTTTGTCGAAGACATCATATCAAGAAGAAAGGCAACTTTGCCAGAATCCAAGCGACAGATACAGTAGAGCTGCACTTGAGTGAAGGTGGAAGCAACGCATAGAAAAATGAGCTAATACACAAACCTTGCTTTTGAGGATGTAATCTGTGCTATCAAATTCGTTCGAGTTTTTTGACGTTTAATCGTCTTTCTCTATGTACAGGGTGTCCACTCATTTGGCTAAATAAAGTTCCCTGAGTTTTCCAGGTTTTTCCATAACTTTGGCGGATAATTTTCTGTAGAACAACAACAACAACAATTAACGCAAACGATTTTAATACATGACAATCAGTTTTAAAGAAACAAACATAACTTCATTTTATTAAGTCTAAGATCTAAAGGTGTTTACGAGAATTCCATTTATTTTAAAGCAGAACCGAGATCTTCGTTAGAATTGTTGTAGGAATGCTCCGAGAACATCAAGACAGATAATAGAATTAAAGGGAAGTTAAAAAAATTTCAAGGAAATTGCAGTAACCAGAAACCAGGAATTTCCGGAAACTTCGGTTTGCTCAGAGAAAATTTATGGAACGCAATAAAAATTATATTAATATCCGGAAAATGTAAGAGTATTTCAAGGGTGTTATATCATAGTAATTTAAAGATCTAAAAAATTTCGAAAATTCAGCTAAGTTGATTAGAGAACATCACCGAAGTTCCATTTATTAAAAAAAATGCGATAACTTTAAGCAAGCACCGATATTTTCAAGAAATTCCAGAGCTTCTAAGATATGTTGATATTTATAGATTGTTTCGTTATATTCAATGAAGTTCCGTGACTTTGGGGACGATCAGTTAACATCACAAAAATCCCATTAACTTAAGAAAATTTGCAGCGAATTACAAGGAGATCCTTGAAATTATGGGATATTCCGAGAATTATATGATTGATCTGAAAACTTTAGAAGATTCAGAGAATTATAAATATATATATATCAAAAAATTTACCGGAACATTTGATCTATTTAGAGAAATTAAGGTAAGCATAGAAAACTTTAGGGCTGGACTTTCCAGGGAAAATTAGTGATTCAAGGCAAAGTTTCGTGAGCATTTCTTCTTCTTCTTCGCATTTCAAGCTTATTGTATATCGCATACTAGCTTATTGCGTGCTCTCAACTTAGTGTTCTAGATGCACTTCCACAGATATAGATATGATTGTGTGGCAAGTCCAATCATACTTCTATGCCCAGGGAAGTCGAGAAAATTTCCAATTTGAAAAAATCCTAGACCGGACCGGGAATCGAACCCAGCCACCTCCAGCATGGTCTTGCTTTGTAGCTGCGCCTTTACCGACTGAGCTAAGGGAGGCCACGTGAGCATTTATGAACTTTATAAAACATAAGGAAAATTGTAGAACTCAGTTACAGTTAAATTGAGGGTTCTTTTTAAAAAAAAAATACTAAAATATTCAGGGCAGTATAGAGAATTTAAAGGAGATTGAGAAATATTTTGGGCAGTTTTAAGAACATCAGGAGACTCTAGACTATTGAAGAAGCTGTTAGTTTTGAAAATCGAGAAATCTCGAAAACTTCAGTGAAAATCATAGAATAATATTAATTATTTCGTTGTGAGAGCTTAAAGAAGTTCCTGAAATTTCAGAGCAGTAAATTTTTAAATCTTTAACGCAATCCATAACGTTTCTTTAGAGAAGATTCCTGATCGTTAGGAAAATTGTTGAAACTTTAAAAAGTCCACAAAAGTTTAGAGAAGTTAAAAACAATGATGAGAAGCATTCCGAGCATCAGTCTAGTTTCTCAAACCACAAAAGAACTTCAAGGCAGTTTCATTAATTTCAGGAATATTTAAGGAACTTTCAAGTTGTTCAGAAGGCCTCAGAATAGTCGATTGCATATTCAACGGAGATTTCTCATGCAAATTCGTTTGGAGTTCTTCTTATCATTCGCTCGCATTCTCTCATGGAATAATTTCAGAAATTCACTTGGAACGCTTCTCTGAATTCTCTAAAACATATCACAAGACTATAGTTAGAAGACTTCTCGCAACTATCCTCCTAATCAAATTTTCTTTTAATTTTCCTAGGAATTAAATTGAAATTCTACTTAGTAAGAAATTCTCAGAATTTTCATTGAATTCATTTCAGATTTCTTTTTTAATCTCACATTGAAAGCCTCCTAAGAATTAATTTTCATTTCCCCTCACAAATTCCTTAGATTTCTCCACTTAATTTGTTTGGCAATCTCTCCTGAAACTATTTTCCGAATTTCTGTGAAGATCTCCTTGAGTTATTCTCAGATTTAATTGTAATCCTCCTTTTAGCATCCCCTTCACCCCCTAAGTATTCACCAAAAAAATTACGAGGACTTATTCTCCGATTTCAAATGTGTGAATGAAAGTAACTAGGAATATTGAATGTTTTTATTTTTTTTTTATATTTACTTTATTTGTACAGGCTCAATCGAATAAACTTTACAGAACCGAGTTATCCTTTGCGTCATACATTATTGCTGTCTTAAAATTAAAGTTAAAGGAACTGGACCGAGTACTCGCGGTTGTCTCGAGGTTAGTTGAGATTTACAATTTTTTGGATGGGAAAAGGGAAGAAGGAGGTTTGAAATGTGGTTTACGATACAACTATTTACTTAATCCTAAAGCATGAAATTATTTCTATTCATCTTGAAAACAAACATTGAAAAAAAACCCCACACGTACAAAATACAAACTAAACACACGGTTAATCAAACTTACAATCTAAGGTTAATATCCTTAAAGTAAACATATATGAGTTTCATAAACTCCAGATCGCGTCTAGCCAAAATATCCCGAACTGGAACATTAGGTTGTCTACCTCGAGCCCGAAGGGAATCATAAAAATGTGATCTGACTCCACGATACTCCGCACAAGACCAAAGGATGTGATCAGCGTCCTGGTAACCTTGTCCACATTCACAGAGATTGCTGTCTCCCAACCCCACACGGAACAAGTGAGCGTTTAGACAATAGTGATTGGACATGAGACGATCCAACCCTTTGAACCATGCAAACTTCGACACCTTAGGGATAATTGAATGTAGCCATCGTCCCAAGCTCCCTTCACTCCATTGATGTTGCCAGCTAACGAGCGACTGCTGATGATAAATAGAGAAAAATTCACTATAGGCGATCTGTCGATCATAAATGTCGCCTTCCATAGCGCCCACCTTCGCAAGTGAATCCGCCTTCTCATTGCCCAAAATTGAGCAATGTGAAGGGACTAACGCGAAGGTGATGATGAAAGAGCGCACGGATAAAGCACTAAGCAGCTCTCGTATTTTCAAGAGAAAATATGAGAAGTGCCTTACCGGCCTAATGGAACGGATAGCCTCGACAGAACTGAGACTATCCGTAAAAATAAAGTAGTGGTGTGGAAGAAGTGAAGCAATAGTTTCCAAAGTGTAGTGAATTGCTGCCAGTTCAGCCACATACACAGAACAAGGAGCTTCAAGTTTTCGAGAGGCGCTATGAAACTCATTAAATACACCAAAACCAGCGGACTCCTCTATTAGAGATCCATCTGTGAAAAACGTTCTTGCAGAATCAACATGACCAAACTTTGCAGCGTATAATGACGGAGCAATCATAGGACGATGATGCTCTGGAATTCCGCGGATTTCCTGCGTCATAGATAAATCAAAATTCACTGAATTGCCGAAATCGGAGAAGACTACACGATTGGGAATATTTCTTGAAGGGCTGACATCCTGTGTTAAATATAGGTAGTACAAAGTCATAAAACATGTTTGAGGATTTAGCTCCAGAAGCTTCTCAAAGTTTTCGATCACCAGTGGGTTCATTACTTCGCAACGGGTGAGGAGCCTCAGAGATAACTCTGAAAAACGGACGGATAGTGGCAACATGCCCGCCAGCACTTCGAGACTCATAGTATGAGTCGAGTG